ATATATATATATATATATATATATATATATATATATATATATATATATATATATATATATATATATAAAATTCCATATATTTATGCATGTATACAAATTACAATGTTTACTATCTTTATAAGAAAAATAACAAAGTAAACAACTGCAATTTTTCTTTAGAATTATAATACATAGCTAATTATTTTTCAAATAAATGGTTCCAAAATAACCATCTCTTTTTGAACTGAATCAAATTCTTACTTATTAGTCTAAACATTAGTGTTAGGTCGTAATTGTACGGACGAGCATAACATGTTAATCATTTAAACAATCCTTGATTTCATTATAGTTTAAAAGAACATTTCATTAGATCCAACATCCTTAAAAAGAAATGATTGATTAATTTTTTTTAAATAATAGAGTTAACAAGCATGTTTAAGGTTCGTTGATTCTCTGATAATATAGATAACTCTTAATGATATTAATATCTATTATTCCTTGTTATGTTAAAATATCTTATTTGTCCAATTTTGCCCCGCAAGCTATGCTATAATTGTTTGTATTTTACTTAAAAATACATTTCTTTTTAAAAAACATAAGAGTTAATGCAACATTTTATATGAGTGAGCAGAGGGTTTATGAACCTCAAGTTAAAACTTTTAGCATTTAACAGGCTTATATTTCATGGAAATTTATAATGATTTATTTATTTATTTATAAAATTGGCGAATGCATTAATTGCATGTGGACAGTGAAAAGATGGGGAAGGGGGGTCAATCAAGTAATAAATATCTGCAAAGCAAAAACTGTCATTTTACAGTAAATGTTCTACTTTGATCATTTCCTAGTTACTGCATCTCCTACATTACTATTCCGCCTTGGGGTGGGGGGCACAAAGATACTCGCACTAGGCACCCTATGACGGTACATATTGTCATCCTATACTTATTGTCGTCGGTGACAATATGTACCTACCCTAACTGCACAAATTTTCGTCCATTAGTACATATTGTCGCCGGCGACAATGTTTACAGAAGCGAGCCTTTTTTTTTCCTCCTGCATAATGGACGACAAAATGTAGAGTCACGCATCGGCAAATTTTGTCGTCGGCGACAATATGTACTGTGAACATTTTTACATATTGTCGCCGATATATTGTGTTGAAAAATATTTACTAAGGTCAGAGAGAGAGAGAGAGAGAGAGAGAAGGATATACAAAGTGTGACAGATAAATAAATAAATAAGTTGTATTTATTTATTAATTACTCGAAATACTGCAGGTAGAAACAGATTTGGTAAGAAAATTGAATCCAGGATTGAAGTACACCACTATTTTATGCCAAGATACCATAATTCTTGATATATCTGATAAATCAGCATATTCTTTTATTCTCGTTATATATTTACTAGGAGATTGAATGTTAATTGTTTTGTTTAGTAGAACATTATCTGGAAGATATTTTGCATTATTTTTATACATCTGCCGATATAATTGGGGTTGGGGGTCAACATTTTAACTCACTTGAGCTGAAAGCTCAAATGAGCTTTTCTGATTATATTTTGTCTGTCGTCCGTCTGTAAACTTTTCACATTTTCAGCTTCTACTCATGAAGTAATGGTCAAACTTGCCACAAAGCATCCGTGGATAAAGGGGATTCAAATTTATTCAAATGAAGGGCCATGCCCTCCTTCAAGGGAAGATAATCAAGAATAAGTGAAAACTTAGTGATATCTTTTAAAATCTTCTCTAGAACTACTGTGCCAGAAAAGTTGAAACTTATGTGGAGGCTTTATTATAAAGTGAAGATTTAATTTTATTCAGACCATGATCCCCCCGGGGAGAGAGAGAGAGAAAGAGAGAGAGTGGGGCTACAATAGATGATCAAAGTTTTATGATATATAGGAATATAAAAGAAAAAAAAATTCAAAATCTTCTTTTCAAGAACTACTGGACCAGAGGAGTTGATACACATGTGAGAGCTTCATCACATAGAGTACATTCAAGTTTGTTCAAATCATGACCCCCAGGGGTAGAGTAGGGCCACAGTGGGCGATCAAAGTTCTGCATAGGAAAATATACAGAAAATATTTAAAAGTCTTCTCAAGAACAACAAGCCCATGATTAGCGATTATATGGAAGCATCTTCAGAAAGTGTAAATTCAAGGGATGTTTAGGAAAATTCTTTAAAATTTCCCTCTCAAGAACAGCAAAGCAATGATAAGTCATATAACTCATATATATGTGCAGTGCGGGTAGGTACACATTGTCGCCGGCGACAATAAGAACAGGACGACAATATGTGCTGTCACAATCACGCTGCATGAATTAGCATACGAGACACGTCGGTGTGATTTACACACCAATTACATTCACAAAACTAGAAAGAAAAAAAAAAAACAAAATCTTAGAGCAACAATATCTGTGGGGCGACAATATGTGCTGTTAGGGTAGGTTACATAATGTCGCCAGCGACAATATGTATATGTGTAACTTAATTTTCAGATGGCGACAATATGTTCCGATGGACAGCAATATGTGCAGTGACAGCAGGTACATACTGTCTCCAACGAAAATATGTACAAACGACAATATGTACCGTCACACACCATCTCCCGTGTTTACCCCCATCAGTCCCTATATTGACACATATCAGCTTTAAAATTGGTCCCTAAGAAAAATTTGCCTGGTGGAGAATTATTGTGCGCAATAAATATACACTTTTTTTCAATGAGTGGCACTGTAGCTCTCTGGTCGTCCATCCCATTTTTTTTAGACCAGCGAGCTACAGATCTGCAGCTAGACTATCCTTACTCAAGTGAGCGTTACGGCCCAGAAGCCTCTTGTTGTCTTTTAGTATAGACAATAAAATGGACCCAAATAATCATGTAAAATATATCAGAGTTATGTATCTACAAAATTCGTATATTCCATGCACTAGTATCAGATGCTTCTTGTGTACAAAAATATCAGATAGACAAGCTTGTGCTCTAAGGTTTCACCATTGTTCTTCTTTCACATGTCTTGTCATTCGAAACCCTTCTACATCTCAAAAATTAGATTATAAAAAAACAGTTTTGAACATAAATACAGCCTTAAATGTATATACCCCTGCAAATGTTACTGTTATTTCAATTCAAAACACCTTGTCTCCTTTGACCCATTCGAAGGTAGTAGGCCTGAGAAAGATTCCTCAGTAAACATAACAATGCTATAGAATTTTTCTTAGGTATTATAAATATATTTAATCTGATGTTGATCGTGGTTTTCGTAGCTAAAGTTTAATTATAATTTCATATCATTTGATTCTTCTTTCGGTCAAATTTTGATAATTTTCCCACTTTTTAAATATCTTTTCAGCGCCCTTATTTAACTATACTTGGCACAAATGTAAGAGATCCATTTCTAAATGGCAAAACTTAAACTGCAATGTAATAATTAACGGTGACGGTATTGTTTTTAACTCACATAAGCATACATATATATATGGATCTAGTGAACTTTTTGAAGCAAAAACTGACTGTTGTCGTCTAACCGTTTCTCTGTCAATTTGTTCCGGCTTCGTCAGTACCACTGAATCAATTTAAACCAAACTTAGCCAAAAACATCATTCGGAGATGAGAGTTATCCAAATGGTCACATTTAAAAAATTGAATCCTAGTGGTCACATTCTGATTTCTGAACCATGATCTCATCAAATTCTAATGTATTTTACACCGTATGTCATTGCCTGCCTCATTGTTTCTTAAAAAATGTCCTTGAGCCACAGTGCTCAACCGAGTCACAAATAAACATGATTTTATGCCTTCAGTTTACAGCTGATCGGACAAAATTCTTAAACCATGAAACTTAACGTCCTTTCTTTTGTGATCATTTTCAAATTCTATAAAATAATGTTTAAAGAATTTAACTATACTGAAACCAAAGGGTAGTAAGGTGATCTGCTTAAAATAAATATGCATGTACAATAATGATTTGTTATGTGCAGTGCATGTACAAATAAATCGAGAAAAGATATATAAACTTAAAAACGACCAGATCTCATTATGAAAAATTAAACAGTTGAAAATAAACTTTCATTATTGAGTCATCTTCCCATAGTAAAAGGTGATTGTCTACAGTTTACTTTCACTTGAGGTCAAGTTACCAAATTGTCTTGATGATTATGTAGACGTTCAAATACACTCAGACTTCTATGAAGTTGGGGGGTGGGGGGGGGTGGGGGGGGGGTTGAACAAATTTTGTTATATGTACACTATACATGGTGAAGATTTCATTATTAAACACTTAAGTATTATAATGACTTGTGATAGTTTGGCAGTCGCAGAAAAAAAAATCAGCAGAATGATGTACACTATGAGACACTAGTTATTCTTATTTTAATGTTGATGTTTTTGAGTAAAAAGATTCTTTTCACTTCAAGAATACATGTATCATATATTGTAGCATTGCAAAGTTCATTGTGTACTTGTAATTCACAAAATTAGTTATCAAAGACAATCTCACCACGTCAGAATAATTTTTAATGGAAAATATGAGTTTGAGATCAACACAGAATTAAACGTTTTGTTATAATATGCTTTGTATTCTAAAATGTAACCATGTCACTTTTTTAAAAACAATTCTTTAAGCCAGTGATAACTTGCAGTTATTTCGGATTAATGACAAAAGAAATTGATGAAGAACACTACAGTAAAATGTAAAATGATATTCATGAAATAAACCAAGAACACGTTCGTTTGTTGGTTTGTTTGTTTGGTTGGGTTTTTTTTTTGGGGGGGGGGGGGGTCTTGTTTTTTCCCTTCAAATTTTCTTTCGAAGCTCGTGTATCTTTTAAAAAGGTTATATTTTACTGCTTCTCAAAAATGAATACACCAATATTTTAATAAAACTAATACAAGGTAATGAAACAGAAAGTTTCAGATTGTAATTCTAAAACTGCTAATTATTGCAATCGGGATCGGAATACATTTTATATCCAACTTTCAGTTTGGATGATTGCCCTTGCTGCATGAACATGTCATGGCATCAAGACACGAAAGGGAATCTGCATGTATTTCCACAAATACATCAACAGAAAATTCAACGGTATGTCCAATCTGTTTTGAAATCTTTAAATATCCGAGATATCTTCCCTGTCTCCATACTTTTTGTTATGACTGCCTACTGTCCTACATTGTGACGGCATGTAAACAAAAAGAGGCTCCAGTAGGATTTCAGTGCCCGCTGTGTAGAATCTTTGTTCCTGCACCTGCATTTCCGGCATTGCCTGAAAAGTGGATGGAATTGATCCCCGTCAACAAGTCAATTCAAGCATTAGTTGCAAAGGGTGACGATAAAAGGTTTTGTGATGCGTGTAGGCGTGAAGACGAGGAAGAAATCGCAACTGATTGGTGTAAAGCGTGTATGGAGACACTATGTGTGAGCTGTAAAAAGTATCATAAAAAGAACCTTGTTAGTCGCGAACACAAAGTAATTCCTTTTGCAGCCCTGAAAGAAAATGCTATTAATGACTTGGACAGAAATGAAACTCTTGAACATTGTGGTATACACCAAGAAAAAATTAAATATTTTTGTGAAGACCACCAGGAAACCTGTTGTATGCATTGTGTGTGTACACAACACAGAACTTGTGCACAAGTTGTCACTATAGAAAAACAAGCTCAGAATCTCATAGACTCACAAAAAGTTAACAAGTTAGTTAATAAAATCCAACAATACACAGAAGTTCTCGAAAAGGTACAAAAGGATGGGGAAAACAATAGGGCAGAGATAGACAAAGCTTCAGATGACCTGACAAAACAATCAACTGAGCTGAAAACAGAATTAATGACACAGATTGATGTTTTGTTTGAAAAACATTTGAACGAAATATCCAGAGTTACCAAAGAGTGTAGAAAGACACTAACAGAGTCAGTGGGAGGTTTCTCAGATCGTAAACTACTTGGAGACTCTTATGTGAAGACACTTGAAAATATAAAAGAAGGTGGAGCATCAATTGCTCTTGTAGTTGAGTACTATAAGATCAAAAAACATATTTTTAAAGTTGCTGAATCTGAGATTTCTCAGATAGAATTTCATTTGAAGCAAGATGTTCACCAAAAATTTCATGAAATTTTGAAGCTTTCTACATTTGCAAACCTTACTCTCGGTAAACAGTCAAACCAATTTCATTTTGATATGAATGGTTTGAAACGGGATTCATTAAATTTGATTCGTGAATTTGATCATTCTGATGGTGACATTACTGGAGGGTGTTTTCTGCCAAATGGAGATGTTCTTGTTGTTGACTCACAAGAAATGAAACTTGCTCACTACAGTAGTGTTGGAGAATTTGTAAAAAAAATTTCTCTGTCGTTCTACCCAGATGATCTGACATTGAAAGATGATTCGAATTCCCGTCATTTATTCATTACATCCTCTTGTATGATAGGGGGTCGTGGAATTCACAGTGTAAGTATATCTCCCAATAAAACAAAACTGTTGAATATATCACATTTTGAATGTGACGAAGCCAGTAAGTATTTTGGAATAACTTTTAGGTCTGGCTTTATATATATTGCCTGTGGTAAAAGTATTTTAAAAATGGACACAGAGTACAATGTTATATCAAACCTCAAAACCGAAAGAGACACACGTTCAGTCGCAGTGAACAGAAACAACCATATAATTTCTTCTTCATGCTCTTCACATAGTGTTACATCCATAAATGGAATGGGGGAAACACTTTTTCGCTACACTCACCCTGATCTCAAATATCCCTATGGCTTGGACGTGGACTATGAAGGAAAAATCTATGTGTGTGGAAGAGATAGCAATAACATTCATATTCTTTCACCATCCGGAGAGTTACTACAAATTATAAAGACTTCAAAACCTAACTGTATTAAATTTAAAAGGGATTCGCGTGTATGTTTCATTGGGTCTTACAAATCGTGCAAGACAAAACTATGCGAATTTAAAGCTTCTGAAAATTGACTTTAAAGGTACAACTCACCCGACCCCAATCCATGCTCCTATAACCTTGACCAGGACTGTGAGGGATATAATTTTTGTGACTGGAAGATACAGCAATTATTTTCATTTTCTCTCACCGTCTGAAGAGTTACCAAAGATCACATACAGACATCGATGCCTACATACAGGCTTGTTGGAATGTAAACCAATCTGTATTTTAGAAGGACTTGCAAATTTCATTGAATCTTACATATCATGTGGGTGAAAAAAAAGGTCTGCGAATTTTTGAGTATCTATCTGAAAGTTGACAAAAGAACTAGAAAGAAAATTTGTATATGTGATTTAGTTCTGTGTTGAGTTGCACATTATAATTGTCAAGGAATTTGTGTCATGTTTATATTTTAATTAATGATCATGATGATACATGTAAATTTTCAATTTGTTTCAAAATTTCATTATTTTACATATTTAGATATTTGTCTTTAGATTATAATAGATCAATTGCACTATATAGCTAATTGATGTTAAATATCTTTCATAAAGCAAGTATTTGATTGATAATCTTAATCTAATATACCGGTAATTCAAACAAAGTCTATCAATTTTCAATGACCTAAATGGAAAGGCTAATGAAGAACGGTGATTTGGGGTTTAAATCTTGTACAATTTAGATTATTTCAAATTTTATATGGTTTGTTGAATGTAACTGCTAATTATTTTTACTTAGTCAATGAGAATTATGCTTTCAATATTTTTTTCTCCAACACAGTGAAGTCAGCATTTATTACATTTTTTGAGCAATCTTGCTTCTAAATGGCTGAGAGTTTGTGAGGTTCAGTTGTTTGTACAATATGCTTTACATTCTTTCTTATGCTCGGCTTCCATCAATGTTTTTTTCATAGAATTTTTATTTAAATCTATCATTGCTGCCAAGTAAGATATCATTATATTATAATAATATTCATTTATGTTTAATTGTATTTATTATATCAACTTGCTTAAGAATAAGATATTAAAATATTCTTGCTGAAAATACTACTAGTAATTTGAACGAACTCTTTTGAGCATCAGATAAAGATTAATCAACAGAAATCTTCACATAAAAATTTTAAAGGTCATGAAGGATTGCATATAGGAGAAACCAGAAGAATCAGCTGTAACTCACCGTAATGACAAAACACAGCTCTCTTACAGTTTACTTTCAGCAATGTTCCTTTCGTTCAAAAAGATGAATTTTTGTCATTCGCTAATTGAATAGTAGAGAAAGGTTGGTCATGTTTCGACGGTCATTGTTTCGATCACTTTTACAAAACCAAAGAAATATATTAGTTATCTATTATAACTTTGAAAAAAAAAAAACAATCAAATTCTGATGGGAAAAAAATCAAAGGAGACCAATTTGTTTTCGGAGACTTTTCTTATTTATTTGGTAATATTCCGCTATCACCTGCATATGGTGTTTTTGTCTCCCAACTTATTCGCTACTCAAGAGCATGCTCTGAGTACGATCAATTTTTATCCCGAGGCAGACTACTCACACATAAGTTGATGTTAAAGGGATTTCTACAACCTCGTTTAAAGTCAGCATTTCGTAAATTCTATGGTCGTTAAAATGACTTTATTAGAAAATATAACCTATCACTGGGTCGTTATTTTGACTGAATTGTTCTATACCAATGGTTAGGCCTTTGTTTTAGTACTAAATTTGACTACGGGATGTTCCGTCTACTTGATCAATACATAGGGCTCTCGGCTTGTGTGACCGGTCAACAAGGGACGCATACTCCTCCTAGGCACCTGACCTAACCTCTGGAATTTCCAGGGGTCCCTGTTTATGTCCTGTCCACAGATTTGTATTGTTTGTGGTTTTAATGAGATCGATTACTCACTGTTCATTATCTCCACCCTCTTTCATTTTAACCTCAGCTGACGTATAGTTGCACGTTAGCTATTCTGAAATCGTTTGGGTCACAATAGGTACTCAAGTTTTAGACTTAATGAAAATATAGAATAGAAACATACTGAAACTATCTGCAAACAAGTCAAACTGATATGCAATTAATCTGATATATTCACTCAAGGTTACTGAATTCATGAATAACGGAGTTACTGTATAACTAAGCAAAGGAAGCACAGATATAATGCAGTTTAAACATCTTACTTTATTTTTAGAAAAAAAAATTATATGATATGTACAGGATTTCGATCAAACATTCCAAGAACAATAACAAAAAATAATAAGAAATAAAAATTGTTATTTTAATGTTATAACGAAAATATTATGCATATATTCCATGATTTTCTTATATCTTCATTAATATTGTGTGGCCTGTTATAAATATACGGGACAGTTATTCATAGAAAATTGACTTAACAAAATCCTGTAACTGTAATAGGCAACTGAAAGTCATTAAAAAATAAAAATCAGTTACAAATCGAACATACAAGTGAATAAATGATTAGAAATGAAGCTCTATTCCTTTGTTATTTTACTGTAGATATCTTTTGAAAAGAAAGGAAAAAACATTTAATGATTGTTTCGTCGCCTTCTAATGCAGAATCTGACAAAAATACCCAAAATAGCTATTACTGCCACGGACAGTAAGACTGATAGTACTGCGATAGTCTTCTTTTCTTCAGATAAGGAAGTTGTTTGAACATCAGAATCTGTAGACGATTGATTCGATCCAGTCTGTGCCTGGTAAGTGACATTGGCATCATCTACTTTCAGAAACGCTTCGCTCGGTAGTTCAATGAAAGGCGGTCTTCGAACTTTAGGAAATTCTAAGTTGGAAAGGGTATTTGATTTTACACAGTAATTGACTTCACATGATTCTGCCAGGGCGGCTAGATGCATACTATAACCAGTTGGACAAGCATGGGGCCATAATTCGGGATTGGCAGAAATAAGATATGAATGTATGTTTTTTGTACTGTTTTTGTCACCATCTTCTTTCATGATTGCCAGTGGATTGCCCGATTTGCAACTAAACAGACCAGCAAAAGCTACAGAGTACCGAAGTCCTAGTTCAAAGTCATCTGACACACAAACTTTAATGTCTTCGCCTATCGAGAGGGGATAAAAATAAAGCGGACATTCGTGCTCCTGGGTTAGTGGATTTTCTATACTGCTTGCATAGATCCCCCCAAAAAGGAAACCCGAATGATGATTATTTTGAACATTACCTACGCACCAATGTGTTTCATAGTATGCTGTACCATACACGTAATAATATGAACAACAACTGCTTAGCCAAAGGAAGCCACAGGATGTGCACTTTTGACGAGTTTCTGAGGACGAAACTTGTCCTTTTAACAGAAAAACAGACTCGTATCCCTTTGGACAGGAATAGTCCCCTGTAAGTGGGTTTTTCTGGCGTGTACATATATTTTTGTTCAACTGTCCAATTTGTGTGCATTTCTGGTATACCCCACCGAATGTATAATTGCCAACGTTGTACGAACATGTCCCATCATCAAAATTAGCCATGTTTGAAAAGTTTGGAGAGTCAATTTTTGTACATCCACGATAAGTATTGAACTTGTAGTACTCTTCCACCGCACTTCTCACATGCTGGAATGTAATATATACAATAGACGGGGGGTATTCTGGAAAATTACGCCAATTTATCAATTCATAGATCGGAGAGCCGCTACGGTCAACAGCAACCAGATTGTCTTTCACTTCTGAGGCCCATTCATTCAAAGAATAGTTGTTTGGCTTGAAAATTGGTCCTCCATGGGCCTGAACAAAGCTACGTATTCTGTTTGTCTCATACTCTCTAATGAGATCTGAAGACGCTGCAATTTTGGTAGTGGCAAAAATATTGAATTTCAGTCGATAAACTGCACTTGCTGCAGCAATAATTTTTGCACTGTCTTTATTCACACTCTTTACAAAAGTTGATTTTATATCATCGGTCTGTGAAACAACAGCTCCTGCATCGACACTAGTCACGATGTGTGTTCCGAAATCTCGAACTAGTACTTGACTTTCATATTCAGCTAGTGATGATAAATTCTTTCGGATATTGTCTGCAATGTTTTTTATTTGCTGACGAAATGCTGGATTCAGTTGCGAGTTTTCCTGAAGTTTGGCGGAATAACGGACATACCTTGCTTGTACACGGGTCGTTACAACATTGTTCACGAGTTGATTTTTCCTTATTCTCTCTTTCTCGAAGGAGAAACTTCCGCTTATTTGTAATCTTATACGATTCATCCCTCCGATAGCATTTATGGAGTATGACGTTGTTGAAACATAATCAGACCAGTGCTGAAAATATTCGCCAAGGACTTCAACCTGACTTGTTTTAATGGGTACGGTAAAAACATTGTCTGGAATTAGATATTTGCCATCGTCTGTTGTACGACATTCAGAATAGTTGAAAGAGACAACCAATCCTCTGGCTTTATTTCTAAGATTATCCCATCCTGAACCAGGTAAAACTCCAAAACGGGTAATATCTTTCCCCATTTCTGCAACACATTTTCTGGCATCACCTGAGCTAAAAATTAATGTATTCGAATCTGATTGTGTTCCATTTATAGTGATGCCCAGGAGTAAAATATAGGTCGCAGCCTTAGCTGCGAGTAGAACCTTTCCTGTCATGATTTTAGTTTTGGGCGTATAATATCGAATCCGTCCTTAAATACCAAACAAACATTCATATGCAAAACTGAACAAAGGCCGCACAGGTTCATTAGTTCTGAAGAAAAAGTTTTCCTTTTCATAAATTGAGGGCTGGAGCTCTTACTAATTTTCCACTTACACACAATATTGACATTTGAAATACACAAGCAATCCTTTTTATAGAAATGAACATTAAGAATGCATTAAAAATATTTAAGTAATATATGAATCTCTAAAAAGAAAAGTTGAGCCTCAGCAGGAGCCAGTTAATTTTTTTCTAATGAAAGTAAGGAGCACATCTCAAACATACATTAGTTATAAAAAGGAAAGCAACATTCATTTTATCATCATTGACGCATCTCCATGATTTTCACCGTTGAAATGGTGGCCCAAGATTGTAAATTGCACCAGGAGGGGTTCCAAAGATTTGTAAGGGAATAAATTCATGTGGAGAAAAATTGGTCTCTTTGCAGCTGATTTAATGTTTTCATTATGAGGCTTTCACAGAATCTTTTGACATAGTGTCATTTTTACGTTTTGATCGGACACATACATGTGATTTCCCGTAGAAAAAATGGAAACTGCCATTCTTTTCATAATATTGGGGGTACCCATCACTTATCTGCAACTCCTCCCACACCACTGAAAAATTTAATGAGACTTTTACAGAATCTTTATTACATGTACACAGAGCCACTACGCACCTCCTATTTCATATTCTGAACGGACAGATATTTTGGGTTTCCCATTGCAGAAAATGGACTTTGCCATTATACTCATATCGGAGCGGGGGCATCATTTGGTTAGGTAAGTGCTTAAAGTACCTCTAGTTTAGACTTGAAATCTTCAAGAAAGTCACAAGAGCCGAGATGTTCAATAAGTTGTCGAGTACAAAGGCACCCTTTGAGCATTCCGTACATGGTGTGTGATTTTTCTATAATTTATTTCTTAGTTTTTCAACAGGTGAGACTATTTCATGTATACTTGGGTAATTACAACTGAACAAAAAAAGTGTAAACATATGGTATTGATGTCAAGTTTTATTTCCCTTACGATTATTTGATTTCATCAATGTTCTTATATTTTATGTACAGATTTCATCATGTCTATGTATTATTAAGCGATAAAAAGAAATACATATAAATCATTTAATAAAAGAAATTCTAGAAGAAAATTAGATCATTTTTTTACAATTAACAGGACATGAATTTCTGAACACTAGGAAAGAATTGCCGAATTAAAAAAAAAAGATAATCAGCAAAATACATAAAAGGGCACGTATGGCAACCACCAATGGCCGGTAGAATATTCTGTAGAAATAATACATATCGTTTGACGTGGGGGGATTACATTTTAAATGTTAGCAAAAAAAGAGCTATTATGTTTAGTACACCCCACACCAGGGAAGTACATCTGCAAGTTTCAGTACTTGTCAAAGCGGAAACATTTCGGGAAATAATATTTATATGTAAGTTTCCTCATATATCTAACCTCTTTCGCATTTTTCGCTCTAAAACTTTTAATGAAGTTTGTCTTTTATTTTTATTCTTTAGTATAAAAGACCAATGAGAACATAAGTTTCATCTCCACTCTACATCTAAAATACACTGAACCGATTTTTAAAAGTCGTATTTACGTCCTGTGCAACTCTAGCCTTTATAGTATGTAACAGTATCAAATTCTTTGGTTTATTTTTTTTTCATATTTATCACTAAAAAGGACTACTAGTACTTTCATTTCGTTGCTTCAAACTTTCTTAACGATTCAAGTTATTTATTTATAATTATAAATTTATAATTATAAAAATAATGTAGTAATATGCCGTTTTTCTTCACCATTTAAAAATTACAAAATCATCATTTCATTGTGAGAACACCTTTATCATGTCAATGTGCAGTTTCTTCGGAAGGTATTAAGAAGTGGTGTACGAGGGTTGTTCGGAAAGTTCGTGGAATACCGTCATAACTTTTTTACTTAACGTCATATTATACCCAAATTTGGAAGAAATATTTCAACAGTAAATTTGAATGATGTGTATTAAAAATTTTTATAATATCTTGGTTTATTTCAAACTTATTTAGACTTAGAAAATGCGAAAATCGGATCACGGAGCATGTCAAAATTTCGTAATTTACAATCAAGACACTAAATAATGTCTGAGATCATATCTTCTGTAAAATGAAACAAAATCGAAAAAATTCTACACGTTCAAATTAAGAATTGTTTCATCTCTTCTAATTCCAAATTATGACTTAATATTTTGCTTCGTTGAAAAGAAATCAGTTTCAGAAGATAGGTAGTCCTTATTGAAAAAGCAAAAAAAAAAAAAAAAAAAAAAAAAAAAAAGATGACGTCGTAGAACGTCACGGAGCAGCAGTTAACCATACAATTTTGTGTTGTACTCTGGAAAACTCCATAAAAAAAACTCTGAAAATGCCGGAGGAAGAAGGAAATATGTCAAAAGCGAGCCATGCATGTGTGTGTACATGGTACAAGCGGTATTTGAATGATAGACTACTCTGCTTAGACTATGGTGATCTCTGAGAAAACGGATTATCTGTAAAATCTTCTCAAAAACATTGAAACGTTTGTAACGTCATGCGAAGAGTTTGGCGCTTCACAGATGCTGATCTTGTGAAAGCACATTTATGCAGTGAAAAATATATAACATTGACAAACAAAATAACGCTACTGGGACAATTGTTAGCAAAATAGATTTCAAGTGATAGAGAAACGTATTAATGAGTGCACTGGTATCGGGCAATACTGTATGAAATGTATAGGGATAGTATTTTTGGGAACCTAATGTCGGTATGTTTTGACGTTACGGTGTTGTAGAGTTTGCTCCGTGGTTACAAAACGTGTTGGTTTTAAAATTAAATAACATGAATTCTATTAAAACACAAGGAATGAAACTTCACACTTAAAATAAATATTTGTACATATGATAATGTGCTCATTTTAAATTTCTTGAAGATAGTATAGCGAAGATTAGCATAGTCCACGAACTTTCCGAATAACCATCATATGTATTTGTTTTTACAGTTTCAATATGAATGTTACTGATATTGATTTCTTTTTTACTTTTGATGTAAATAAACATTTTCTTTCTAAATTTTAGATGAAACGTCCTGCTAAATTCTTTTCTAGTTAGAATACTTTTTTTTTTATTTTGATATACCAATGCATGAACATACCTTTTTAAGATAGTACATTAAATAATTCGATAATTTTACAAGCTTATCTTTTCTATGAGACTTTTTTCGTTTTATTATATTTCTTATTTTGTAAGAAATTTTAATTTGTTAATCCTTTTAAATTCAACACTGATAATCCACACTCTAATATACACCATACAAAACTGTTAACGCACCACTTGTTTTTCTTGTTTGTTAATTGAACATTTGCCTAATCATTACTAGAATATCTAATATGCAATCTTGTCCAATACCGTGCACGTGGGATTAACAAATATTTTGGTTTCATGAGAAGACCTAAATGACCTTCTTACCCGGAAAAAAATTTCTGCTCAGATATGAAAATTTCGGAAGGTTGTGGTCCGTTAGGTTGCAACAGAAGCGGTATCCCATTTAAAAAGATATTTCTTCCTATTGATTAAGACTGAGTTGAAATGTTGATTTAACTGATTTTTTTTATATGAAGTGTTTATGGTGATAGAATTCCAATATATATTTGCTTTGTTGTTTTATCTGGACAAGCCATGAAAACAACGGTAAACCTTAGATTTTTTTCAAACATTGTCAAACAAATAAAAAAATGATTAGTATATATAATATTCGTGATTGGGTTGCTCTGTTTCATTGAAATCAGAGGGAGTGACTTACTAGAATGAAAATGGTTTCACGGTATTCAAAAATTGATAATTCATATACATGTATCAAAATAAGAATAATGCTTCACATTAACTCCCTTAATGAAATCCTAAATCTCTACCATATGCATATGAAAGACAATTTCTGTGCAAAAGTAAAATGCATACATGATAATTTTTAATGACCTTTTTTGCCCATTTATAATATACATGTATGAAAGGAAGAAATTGGTTAGGAAAGCCAGATTTTCTTCTTTAAAACCCAAGGTTTTATTGACCTAGATCATCTAACGGTATATGAATAGACAGTTTTCTTGTATTTGATTTTGTGTTGTCCAGCATAATTAAGGAAACATTTTAAATACAGGATGAAATTTAATCTTCCTTTATATTCATTATCACAAGTTCAAAAATTTTAATTTCATCTACAAGCTGATCACTTATGGATGTCTTCAATAAAAAATTTTCGAAGAAATTTTGCAATCAAACGACCTTGTAGTAAATTTAGTAAATTGTTTAAAATTTTATATATATATATATATATATATATATATATATATATATATATATATATATATATATATATATATATATATATACACTGTATATATATGTATATATATATATATATATATATATATATATATATATATATATATATATATATATATATATATATATATATATATATATATATATATATATATATATATATATACTATAAAAGTTTCACGGTTGAAATGCCCATAAGTTAAATGTAAAGTGCTTGCCTTTGATCATTTCAGAGTGTATCATACTGGAGTCTGCTCCATCCCTACCACTTTGCTTCAGTGTGAATTACTCATGTAAACCTAAATTCCATCTTTTTACTTGGAGTATGACAATTCAAAATAAGTATTAAAATTATTTGATAAAAAAAAAGATTGTACTGCAATCTAATCATTTACTTTAATATAATGCAATTCTTCTTGGAAAAATGGATTTTGAACGTCTAGGAAAGAATCGAAAGTAGAAAAAAAATGATGTTGGACAATCCTTGATTTTTGATAACATTTATGGGAAATCTTACATTTAATTAGTTTTATTTTTTACGGAAACTTGAACTTTCATGCAAACTCTTTTAAAGATTATGTTCGTGTATTCAAGAAGGATTTCTTATGCCTAGAAAAAAAAGTTCTCCACAGTAAATTGAATTATTCGTTTTTCTTAGATCCAGGGAAGACGTCAAAAAGAAAAACTAACAGTCTAAAACCCGAAAAAAAATTTTAAAAATGAATATAAAATAAATAAATAGAAACAGTGTAAATTTTCATTTCGGACATAAATACTCTATATGTCAATTATATAAAAGAATATTCTTCCTAATATCCTTTAATTTGTACGGGAAAAAAAATGTCAAAATGTGTCCAAAAATTATGTCTCCAGTTTCTTATGTACATGTACGTGCATTATGCTTTACTATTCAATGTTTTTAAAATGTATTGCTTCCTGCTCACTTGAAGGAAATAATATTACTGACGTAAAATCATAAATCACAATTACTAAATGATCGACAAAACTGCCTCTGTATTTGTCCTGCTATAATGTTATTAATTGTTTATGACTGTCAATTTCAAAGAACTGAGGAATTAATTTTGGAAAAGTTCGCGTGTTCCTCAAAACTAGGACAATATTTTAGCGATATGACCTTTGAAGAAATTTAATTTCAGTTTGTGTGTGTGTGTGTGTTTACGCTATAACAATATCAATTATATTTACAGAAGAGATATGATAGAACAAGGGTGGTTTGAAACCAGTTTTAATGAAAGATTTTGGTGAGAACTAAAATTTGATTTTAGTTATATGATGATGTTAATGGTAAAGTTGAATTCTTCAAAACGTTGAAAAAACTAGCCAAAATTAACTTGAGTATATATTTTTTATAATTGCTTTTGCAAATGCTTGAACATATTTTTATTACTTACCATTTTCAAAGTGAATGCAAAATATACTACGATTTATTCGTCTTAATTTCCACAGGTTTTACCCCAGTAAACATAATTGAAACAATTTGGTTTTCTATATAGTTTTTGCATATTTAGATATATGATAATAAAGAAATATGTTTTAATCATTCAGTATTACTAAATACTAAATGCAATAAAACAGCTTGGATGAACTTACAACATGAATACATTCAAATAAAACTCATTTTTGACAAGATAAAAAAAATATTAAACTCGTTATAACGAGATAATTGTCTCATTATAACGAGTTAGTATCTCGTTATAACGAGTTATTACCTTATTATACTGAGCATTTCCGACTTTCGTAAATACATGATCCTAATCGTCGTTGAATAAAGTAATATGCACTCATTGTTCCTTGAAAATATTGATTAAAATAGTTTTTTAGTTATTTATTTACATGAAATGGTTTTTTAAAAAAACATTATAGCATTTCGCTAGAACAGGATACCATGTCCCTATTTATTTTTAACCTAAATTAAAAATTATGCACAAGAGTATTATGTAACTGTACAAGATAACCTTTGCTCTTTGATGGTCTTGAATTTTTGTTCTAGTTTCTTAAGAACTAAGTAACAAGTTTATATATCAATTTTTGGACATTCGACGAATTGCTTGCGTTGAAGTACATGTATTATTTTCAAAATAAAATTATACAACTAAAAAAATTATTTAATTTTTTCCTAACGATTCAGCTTGTCTGTGCTCTTTTTATGTTGAAAGAAGTGTTTATAATTTAAATCTGTTAAATTATATATTTTAATCTGAAAAAAAATGATTCATTGTGCATATACTTGTATTTAAGAATAGACTGTGCATTGCTTAGTAAAGAATTAATGCTTGTCGTATATATATTTATGTAAGACTATAAAAACAATTTCCCTTTGAAACACAAAACATGTGCAAAGGAACACTTTTATGGAAGAATAATCAGAAGCATAAAGAAGACATGTTCGAAGTTCTTTGCATAAATTACATGTAGGTCATAGAAATAAAACAACTTATGAATGCAAAAAGAGGGAAAAAAACTGTAAAACTGAACTTCAGACATTCCATGGGTATTAAGTCAATGTTATCCCAATACACTTCATGCATTCAAAGTATTGGAACATGTTTGTTTGTTTGTTGTTTAACGTCCCTCTCGAGAATTTTTCACTCATATGCGCATTTGGGGCTATTGAGCAATAAGGGATCTTTTTCGTGCCAGCACCTACTGCGACACGGGACCTCGGTTTTCAAACGTTATCATACAAAGGACCGGTCTCCACGTCCCACAGTGGATTCGAACCCGCAACGTAAGGATCAACTCTTTACACCGCAACTCTAGATCAGACGCTCTAACCACTGCGCCACGCAGTCGACTGTTGTAACATGAAATACATGAAATACAAGCATACGATTGCCTCATCCAAACCAATCCCCAACAATATCTATGTTACATGTAGTAAAAGAAGTTCTCTACGAAAGGGCGTAACGGCGTATCTTTCCAAGAACATAGTCCTTTATTGAAGCCTTGAAAGACTAAGTATTCAGTTTTGTCGCTGCATTATTTTTATGAGGGTATTTATATTTTTTATTCTAAAAAAGACAAGTGTAAATCTACTTTTTTTGTATTTTTTCCTAAAGTTTCTCTATTATTATATTTGGGGGTTAGGGGTTGGCCGTTTTTATTCAGGGGACAGGGCTCTCAAACCAAGTCTAGAATTTTGTAAAATTATCCTTGTTTAAAAAGTCTTTCCAGAGGTTTCAATTTTTTTAAGCAGCCATACCTCAAGTAAGAATCACTCAGTTCCATCCCTATCTTGACAGAAACTGCTGTGGTGCTAGTTTCATTGGTAAATTACATTTAAATAAATAAACCAATCAAATTTTTTTTCAAAAATTTCATACTTTGGGCCTTAAAGGTGCTTGGACACAGATTTGAAGTTAATATTTTCTCAAGTTTTCGGAATAATATCATGACTTATATGTTGCTATTACATTTCAAAGGGAAATAAAATAAAAAAACTTATTTTATCTGGAAATTATTGAAACTACAAATTTTGGGACGCGTTTGATTGATACATCCTAGCACTTTCATAAAATTTTTGTATTAATGAAATATATTCAAACTATAATCCAGAAGAATTCAGAGTAGAAATGTAAGAAAGCAAAACCAGTATTGTCAGTCCGTGCTCAGTGATGTGTGCAGAGTTTAACAAATTGAAAACACCCGGTGAAACGTAAACATTGACAATAACAGAGCTCGTGCCCTGTTTACATAAACAGTTTACGTTTCACGGGTGTGTTCAATTTATTAAACTCTGCACACATCACTGAGCACGGACTGACAATACTGGTGAGTTGGTTTTGCTTTCTTACATTTCTACTCTTTATTTTCTGGATTTTAGTTTAATTTTTCATTAATGCACAACAAAATTTCTACTTTTCTTAAGTATTAAGGATAAAGTTTACTTTGTGAAAGTGCATAGATGTGTCAATCAAATGCGTCCCGAAATTTGTAGTTGCAATAATTTCCAGATAACACAATTTTTTTTTTTTTATTTCCATGTGAAATGCTATAAAAACATATAAGTCATGATATTATGCCGAAAATTTGAGAAAATATTAACTTCAAATCTGTGTCCAAGCACCTTTTAAAAAAAACTTGAAATTGTCTGTACTGTCTGGTGTCGTTTTTTCTATTTTTATTTTCTGTTTAAATATACAAGTGGTCTCCATTAACCCCCCTCCCCAAGAGGGACTGGGAATGGGGTCATGATTTGAAAAACAAAAAAACCTTGAATCTACACTACCCGGGTATGGTTCCATATAAATATGACTAATCATGGCTTTTTGTTGTTAAAAAGACTTTTTAAGATTTTTTCCTATATAAAACTTTGACCATCCATTGTGATCCCACCCTGCCCGTGGGGGTCATGATTTGAACAAATCTGAATCAACACTACCTGAGGATGCTTCCATATACCGGTAAATAACTCTGTTTTTAAGAAGAAAATTTTGTCCTATGTATTTCTTTGTAAAATTTTGATCAGTCCCCCTACTTTCCATTGTGACCCTGCCCTACCCCAGGGATAATAATTTGAACAAACTTGAATCTACACGATGTACGAAAGCTTTCACATAAGTTTAATCTTTTCCAGCCCAGTGGTCATTGAGAAGATTTTTAAATGAGGCCATTGAATTTTCACTTATTCTTAAATATCTTAAAAGACATTGTGACCCTTCATTTGTAGAAACTTAATTCCCCTTATCCAACGATACTTTGTGACAAATTTGGTTGAAATCGGCCCAGTGTTTCTTGAGAAGAAGTCGAAAATGCAAAAAAAATTACAGACGACAGAGAATAGATGGCCGGACACCCTTCAATCAGAAAAGCTCACTTTCACAGGTGAGCTAAAAAGTAGTCGTCCTCATTTGATTCTTGTGATTAATGTTGTCTACAGTATTCATGTATAAATGAAGAACTGCTTGAAGTTTTCTAGATCGTATGTGGAGTTCAAGGTTAAAACCCTAGACATGTGATAGTACTTAAATAGCATGTTTTCATGCATTTGTCCATGGACTAGTTGAAGTCTGACGCAGTATAAGGAAATATTGCAAATATGGGACGCTTTCTTGCCTGTTTTATTTTGATGTTTTATTGTGAGTTTTGACTTATTAATACTAATCTTTCTTCCCGATCATTTTTATTAGAATGATCATATTGATTTGAATAATCTTTAAAAAATTAAATCGTTGAAATAAGATGATTATATAAGGTATGCATTTTAATAGTGAAAAAAGCTTAATATATGAAATTCTTATTAATTATTCTCAAGCGTTATTCTAAATAATATGCATGTAGGTGAGGATATACCCCCGTTATAAAAACCATTGCCAATTGAAATGCATGTGAGATTGACTGCATTTCAAGGAATGAAAATTGACAAATTGTTACCCTCAACTACATGCGATATTTGTTATATTATACAGAATGTTACACACAAATACATAAAACAAAGAAATCTCTATCATGCAAGATACTTTGTACACCAATAAATACAATAAAGAAATTACTTTCCTGCAAGATGCTATGTACATCGAGTACATACAACAAAGCAATCACTTTCATGCAAGGTGCTTTGTACATCAAATTCCTTCAACAAAGGAATCACTTTCATGCAAGGTGTTTTATACAGCAATGCGGAGAGAATTTTTTAACGTTCAAACGATCTCCTTTCAAATACATGGCGAACCGTACATTTTGCACATAGTTTTTTTTTATCAATATGTAGGGAGTTGTTTTGTTCTCTGAGAGTAAAATTATATTTTTAGTCGTTTCTCGATCAGTGTGAATAGGCTTGTTTACATCGATTTAAAACTCATCTAGTTCCCTTCGAGAAATAGAGAAAAACATGAGTATTTTCGTAACCGTTTATACATGGAAAATGTTTGAGATTTTAATTAATTTTTTTCTATGCGATTTCTTTTAACCAAAAACGAAGGGGGGATAAGAACAAGAACAAAAATCTGGAATCTCAAGAAAATTGTTACGTAAAGCAATTTTAAATCATTTTATTCTTTGCTTAATTAATCACAGTGTATAAGACGTGGGAGGCAGCCACACACCAATGCCATGGGCACCATCAGTGCACCACTGTCACCTGTTCCAGTTTCAATTCCATCTGTGTCCATGGGGAATGTCGTTGCACTGATATAAGTAAGTATTGCTTTATCTGATATCGTATTTTTTTGTAGGCAATGGAGATTATTTTTAAATATTTGAGGGTAAAAACTAAACCATATGCAATAATGCTTCTACAGACTTCAATATTGTGTTTACTACAGTGATTTACTCATTTCTTTTACCAACATAATTAAATATTTCTTTTTTATCAAATTAAAATCCCTCTATTTTAAGTTCATGAACATGCAAAAATACCTTGAAGAACATTACGTGAATTACCCTTGATATTATATAAATTATCATAATGTTTTCTTACCAAAGTTCTATTGAAATCAAATCGAAAACTGTCAAAAGAGAAACATTCCTTAACTGTCACTTAAAAAAAATCAATCAATAAGTCATTCAATGAAATAGATGAATTAAAAATGCCTGAAGGTGAGGTTACTTAAAACATAATTTTAGAAAAATTTAACTTTTCCGTGAACTTTGAAAATTGAGAAATATATTGTCTCAGAGCGGGTGATTGTCCTCGCCTTGTACGCCCTCTTTCTTTAACTCTTGCTCTCTATCAAAATCATTTAACTGATTATAAACGATTTATATATATATATATATTTTATAAATCTTTTTGAAGCTGTTGGAGGAATCCCGTGCGTTGCGCATCATCATGTGGCTAACACCCATGATCCAAATTGTCAAAGTGCGGGTATCAAATGTTCGGACGGCCATAGCCCAGGCTGCCACAAGGGACACTGTTCATGCACTCATGATTCCTTTAGTAAGATATCATATTTCTATTCATGTGAATTAATCCTTGATTTTATTTAGCGCAATTATACCTACTAGTAATTCCTTTTACATCTTTCTATATGAGAACTGAATGCAACGTTAAACGTTGTGTATAATTTCAATTTTTTTATATTACTTTAGATTGCAGTGTTGTAAACGATTGCATAGATGGAGTAGCTGCCCATAAACTTGAAGATTGCGTTAATGTTGGTGGAGTACACGGATTTTGGCATTGTGCAGAGGAACTGTGTAAATGTATCTTCTTTAATCACACAGACTCCACTTTAGTGGGATGAAACACGATAAAGTTAAAGTCATTGACAAATTAACTTGAATTCTCTTGGTGTCGCACTCATATAAGAAAAGTACTATTTAAATCACTTATCTTTCTACAAATCAATATAACATAAACTTACTGTTATGTGATTAGGAAATTCATGTCTGCATTTTTTTTAAATTACTACAACTTTTATTTGTATTTTCCTTGTGGTATATGCATTAAAAGGAGCACAGAACATCAAATACGAATTTTAAACTATAATTAATTTCAAAATGACCCATGATTTATTGTGTACAAAGTTGAGTGGCATTTTTACACCCCATGGGTCTCCGAAATTTGCACTCATATATAATTTTCAGTATTCCGTATTACACAAAGACAGTCTTTACAGATAAAATATAACCCTATTTCGAACATTTAATATGCTAGAAATAGTTAGAATTATCTAATATATATATATATATATATATATATATATATATATATATATATATATATATATATATATATATATATATATATATATATATATATATATATATATATATATATATATATATATATATATATTTAGTATATCACACTTTTACTGGAGATTTACATCGAAAAAAAAATAAAGTGAAAAAAGGTGAAGATAACGAACAGTGATCGGTAAACAAATATAAATCTGTGAACAGGGCATAAACAGGGACCCTCGGAAATTCCATAGGTGGGATCAGGTGCCTAGGAGGAGTAAGCATCCCCTGTTGACTGGTCTCATCCACCGTGAGCCCTATGTATTGATCAGGTGGATTGAACATTCCGTAGTCGAATTCTGTATAAAACAAAGGCCTAAGAATTGGTATAAAACGTCAGCCAAAATACTAGTACAACCCAGTGATAGGTTATAATGATAACAAGGTCGTTATAACGACCATAGAATTAACGAAATGCTGACATTCATTGAGCTGGCTGGAATTCCTGCAACATTAACTTATCTTTCAGTAGGTTTAAAAATTGATCGTACCCAGATCATGCTCTTAAGTATCGAATACGTTGGGAGATGTAAACACATATGCAGATGATAGCGGAATATTATTACATAAATAAAGCAAAGTTGACAATGAAAAAGCTGAGATCAACTTGTTTATCATACAATTTAGTTGCTATGTGACCCTTATCGTCTATAGTCAGTAAAACATCCAAACATGAAACGGATGTGGCAGACACTGTGGTGTCTTTTATTCCAAGTTCACTGGGATATATCGAGTCGACATAAAGGATAGAGGCATAAGACTATCCATTATTTGAGAGAAAGAACTGATCAGGGGCCGTACGTTAATTATGAGTTGTTTCTTCACAGAATTGACTGTCTGAGCCCTTTTATCCTACTTAAATAAAACATTATCTTCATTATAGCATTGTCTAGAGAATGGACTGCACTGGGTGAATTAACATTTGAAGTTTTCTTGCAAGTTTATTTACAAAAGTTGACAAGTTGAGAAGTTGAACCCTGCTATCCTGTGTTAAAAGGACCTGTTTCCAGTTAATTTGATAAAACTTTAATTTTGAACCTGTGCATATATCAGAGATCAGTGACCATGAATGACCTTAATAAGAGCTTTTACATCGACTGATTTATTCAAGGTTTTTTAGCATGTTATTTTCCATGTGGTATTTTCATGATGTTATGATGACAAGGCAGAGCTAAATGAAATGAATAAATTTATATGCAAAAAATCATTCATGCAATACACCGTAGACAAAATTGGGTAATCGTTTAGAGGCTTTTATAACAAGCATTCTGAGAGTATTGCATTAGCAATACTAGTCCCCTACCGGCAAGTGTAATCTGGTTCCGGTTAAGAATTGAAAATGCAAGAATTCCTTCAAAAATCAATGAAGCGGAACGAAACGCAAAATTGATCTATAACTCATCAAGGTAAAGTGACATATTAAAAATCAGCTCAATATCTGCAAGCGTTTAGAAAAAAAAATTGCGGAAAACCCTGAAAAATTGAAAAGGTCTTAATTCCGTCAAAAATCATTGAAACGGAACGAATTGCAAACCTGATCTGTAACTCATAAAGATACACTCACATACCGAAAATCAGCTCAATATCTGCAAGCGTTTAGAAAAAAGTGCGGAAAACCAAGTGGTGGGACAGACTGACAGACAGACAGAGGGACAGCTAGACGGACGGACGGACGGACGGACGGACAGACAGACCCAAATTAATATCCCCCACTTTCAGTGAAAGCGGGGGACAAAAAAATTTGTCCAACCAGGTACGAAAACCTTCTTTATTGTGCGCGTGCATAGAAACACATTACAATGGTCCCAAGTCCAAAGGAGTGATATATTGGTAGACCGAGGAGTTTGACACAAAATTCCAAAAAAGATCGTCAAAACATAGTTTTTACCTTTGCATGCTCTAATTCGATGTTTACATGTTTAAACCTGCTATTATACATTTATTGCATGATAGTGAGGGAGACATGAATATTTCTTCGCCCATGAAAAACCACATTCCCCAAGGGTAACGCCCGAGGGGAATATGATTTTTCATGGGCGAAGAAATCTTCATGTCTCCCGAACATTCATGCAATAAATTGTTTATCATACCGAATCAAGCACAATGCAGAATATAACGAAGATCCAATGAATAACGTAAACATTTGATAAGAACAATATGAAACAGGTGTAAGTTACATCACTAGCCGCGCTTCATTAAAAAACACTTTCGTGACAAGTCAGTGTGATTTAAACACTAGTAACATTCAAACCCAACCCATGAAAACACTTTTCTAAATATTTATATTTTACATGTTTAAATTGAAACAATCAATCAACGGTATAAACCATCTAACTCAGTAGTAATCATCTCAGTTGCCGCATTGTGACGTCACAATGGTGAAACACGAAGTTTTGTTGCAGGGAAAACACGACGGTCACGTGACTGTCTTGACCAATCAGATTCTATTTTACTAGTCATTACTTATATGAGGTATAATAAAAATAAAAGTCACATTTGACATGGATGATAGCAACGACTCGTCAGATAAACCTTGAAGTTCGTTTTTTCGACACTTCTACTTTGCACTATTTGCTTGTCTAGCAGGGCATCTGGGCTTGTCCTAACTTCGCTTTACTCATATTTTTGAGAAACAATTTTGATTTATATTTATATTAGTATCATGATCATATATCATATATACATGTACTAAATTATGCGGATTGGAGTGTCGGGTCCGTTCAAATTTCTTACAACTCTTTTTGATTGATGTCGCCAATTTTCACACGCTTTATTTTATTTTTTTTCCTTTTTTCTTTGAAAATTAATGAGAACGCACTTGTGATTAATTTGCATAAAGGTAGCTACGCTCTTGAATTAATAACAAATCTTGGTATAAAAATAGCTAAATGACAGTTGAATTTGAAACCAAAAAAGTCGTGATTGACAACACTTCATTCATCTTCTAGAAGTGGGGAAAGAATAAGTTCTTTAAATTATAATTGAATTATGGATGGACATGCACATCAAAACATCTTCGAAGGTTTGTTTCACATGAATTTGCAAAAAAAAAAAGCTTGCTCGTGGAAGTTCAGAGCAATTTTGTTTTCTATTTTTTAACTTGGTTAAATAGGCTGTCGTAAATGTTTTTCCACTAGATCCTTGGTTAAATGTTTATCTTAAAAAAGTTATAAAAAAAAATTTTGGGGTAGAGGGGGGACGGTTGAAATAGTGTTGTGTAGTATCTTTGTTTAAAACAAAGATATATCATGGATATTATTAGTAAAGTATCTCAATTGTTACACAACATCGAATGGGTAAAACTTAATGAACGACTACTCATCTGTATCCCTGTATCCCATGAAACCTCGCTTTTTTAAATGATCACAAACCAGACATAACACGTTCTCCTATACAAAGTCAGCGATCCTTCATGGATGGAAATTTATGTTTTGAATCACACTGAAAATTGCAGCTTAATATACAGCTGAGAGCAAGGAGAGATTTTTAACTTGCATAACTCAGAGTTAAGGTGAGTGAGGTTATATTGTAAACTCATATTCACAGAAAAAGTAACACTTTTCAGTAAATAGTAATTGCTTGCAAAACATTTCCAGGAGCCTTTAGCCTAAAATTTTCTTTTTTACCATTTGAAGTACATTCACTGTATCAGTTCAAATCTAATTTTTTAAATATCATTGAGCAATAAAATTGACTAAGAAAAAAGAGTAAATCTTTTTCCGAATTAAGATGTTAATTTCAGTACATTTTTCCCTTAATTTACTTAAATGTATGAATGTGGAAATATACTGGAAAACAAAAGTTAAAGTGTTCTTAAAAAAGTTTGTCTATAATTTCCTCTTTCACAAAGGGAGTTTTGTAGTTGAAATACGACGGCATATTGTCTTCATATGGTAATTTGTCTATCGTGCGACAAATAGGAAGTTGAAAAATTAAATATCAAAAATGACAATATTTATATATGCATATATCATTTATGTAAATTCTCCACAAATTGCAACAATCTCACAAGCGTTGAAGTTATTCGTCTATGAAACAGCAAAGGGGGCAAAAATGATCAATTCTGAATACTGAAACACAATTTTTCCCTATGAGTGGGTCTTCGCTACATTTTTTGAAAGATTTTACTCTCAAAGTGTGTAACAAGATACGCTCTTCAGTTAATAAAACATAGCGTAAAGACACAACATACCTTAAATAACACTTTCGTATCAATACATTCATATCTTTTCGATTGATTGATTGGTTGTATGTTGTTTTGTGTCCCATTCGAGAATTTTTTACTAATATCGTCACTGTATGCCGATGAAGGGCTTCAATAAAATTCAAACCTATACTCGACACTCAGGGATATTGAGTAGTGAGGATTCCTGATACCTAGGTCACATTTAAGCCGATGGTCGGAAATCCAAATTTTTCTCGTATCGTCGGCGGAACAGTCACATTAATTCCTAGGAACACCGATAATTTTCAAAAATTATAACTCTAAGTCGGTCAACAGACGCCCAATCATCCTTCGCTAAGCCACAGTTTGAT